CAGAACATGGCCACACAGCCCGAAAAAACCCACAAAAAAACTATAGATCCAAAATAGCTTATCCTCTTGTTGCCTCTTCCACTTTTTGGACAAAGAAATTGTCTTCGAGGCAAGTGAGGAATTTGCTAGACCTTGGAGTATTGGTTGAGTTTGACTTCCAGCAAATATCAAGATAGTTGAAGTCACCCATCACTATTACATCTCTCCTTTCTGAGTGTGTGGTCATCTGTTCTAGAAAGGTATCATCCAATTCCTCAGTCTGACTTGGGGGTCTGTAGTAGACTCCCACAATAACATCCCTTTTGTTTCTTTCCTCTTTAATTTTTATCCAGATGCTCTCCACCTGATTTCCAGGATTTAAGTCCTGGATCTCTTCACAGGTGTAAACATCCCTGACATATAATGCTATTCCTCCTTTCCTGTTTGGGCTATTTCTGGTTGTGGAGAAAGATGTAGTTTTCTTTATAAAGCAAATAATGTTTTTCTTGGGGATGGAAAGTTTTGCCTAGATTGTCTTCTTGCTTCCACAGAATCAAAATACTATGGGTCAAACTGGCAACTTATTCTGCAGCGGTTAGGAGTTTTTTCTAAACCCAAGCACTTCAGAATTTACACAATTTACATTGTGTCAAAATAAAAAAAATGGGGTTAAGCTAGAAGAACTACTCCATTAGTTTTAAAATTAGATTAGGTTTTCTCCACATTCATCAATCTGAAGAGAATATTCAGCACCCAAATTCAGAATGCAGGTTACATATCCAGATAGGAACAGTGGGTCAACAAAACTGTGGGAGAGAAAAAAGGATGGATAAATGTATGTCTGGCTCCTTGGTTTTTACAATGCAGCTTTTCACATGAGGAAGCTACATTTTTATTCCACCTTTTCGCTAGAGAAACAACAAATGGCTGTTTATAACTATTATGAATTCTCTTTTTCAATAACAAAAGGTATAATTACACTACAAGTGTAATTGTATGAGGGATAACAGGACTGTTTTGTGGAGTAATTGCACATTTGTAGCTCCTTCTATAGTTACAGGCTGAAGCCTAGGTCAGTGATGGTGAACGTTTTAGGGGCTGAGTGCCCAAACTAAAAGGCCGGGAGCAGGATTTCCAGGGGGCAACTTGACTTCCAGGGTGGGACTTCTGCTCTCTGGGATTGAGACTTCTACCTTCTGGGGGGCAGGACTTCTGAGGTGGGAAGGCCTGGGGGGGCGAAGTGGGGGAAGAAGAGGAACAGGCCTGTTCCTCCTCTTCCCCCACACTCCAGACCTTCAGCTGCCTCTCCAGGGACAGCTGAAGGCCTGGGACAGCAAGGAAGAAGAGGAACACGCATGCACCTGCCCCTTCCCATTCTAGGAAAAACAGCTTCACATGCCATCTCTGGCACACATGCCATAGGTTCGCCATCATAGGCCTAGGTAGTGGAGGTGGAAGATTGCATGATTTGACTGCATGATCATTTGCTTGGTGGGTGATGAAAAGTTGGGTGGCACTGGAAGGAGAATGTAGTTTGGACTTTAGGGAATGTGGGAGCTAGTGCTAGTAAAAGTAAGCAAAAATACTGAGCTAGTTGAGCAAATCCAGCGGAATATGCAGGCAACACCATGTTACTAGCAGGAAAAAAATCACAACTTGGAAGAATTACTGAGGGAGGTCAAGGAAGAAAGTTCAAAGGCAGGCTTAATGCCGAACATAAAGAAAACAGAAATAATGACCATGTCAACATAGACAATGAGGAGATCAAAATAGATGAAGAGTTCACATATCTAGGATCAAACATTGATTAGAATAGTGACTCCAGCCAAGAAATAAGAAAACAAATAGAGGAGGGAAGGGAAGAGAAGGTATGAAAGAACTAGGTAAGATCTTAAAGAGTAAAGATATAAAACTGAGCACAAAAGTGAGAATTGCCCAAGCCATTGTGTTCCCAATCACCATGTATTGATGTAAGAGATGGACAGTGAAAACAAAGCAGATAAGAAGAAAATCAGCTTATTTGAGATGTGGTGCTGGAGAAGAGTGCTGAGAATCCCATGAAGAGCCAAAAAGACAAACAAATAGATCCTTAAACAGATCAAGCAAGAAATCTCCCTGGAAGCCAACCAAGATGATAATATTGAGGCTGCCTTACCTTGGCCATTCCATGAGATGACAGGACTCATTTAAAAAGACATTAATGCTAGGAAAGGTAGAGGGTAGTAGAAAGAGAAGAAGACCATATACTAGATGGATAGACTCAATCAGGGAGATCACAAGTATGAATCTGCAGGACGTGAGCAGAGCAGTGGAGGATGGGTGATTTCTCATCCACAGGTTAGCCATGAGAGAGGGTCAACTGAAGGTGATGTCTCATCCACAGGTTTGCCATGAGAGAGGGTCAACTCAAGGGAAATTAACAACAACAAACAAAGCTGAGGTGCTTCCTCAGATGCTTAAGGTACTTCCTTAAGGTACCTGTTTTTCCACTTGGCTCCTACTCCCCAAGAGAATGAAAATTATATTTTTAAAAACCTGTTATTGGGATGGCTGAGATTATGCAACTGGGGATGGTCAATTTTACTGTGTCCAGGAGTCAATCTTAACCCCCAGAGATTGTACCACCCATCACTACCATGGTTACACTACCCTTTCACTACTATGGTTACATTAACCTTTCATGCTACAAAGTTATGCCCCTTCAGCTCCACTTCATTGCTTTGCTGCATTGTGTAAAATGCTGAGATTTGTAATTTCATCACACACTATTGTTCTCTGGCAAAGGATTCATTTCTAAGCATCCCTCCTTAAACCTCAACCCCTACAATTCCATAAGATGGAACCATAGCAGTTAAAGTGGAATCATAGCACTATAGTTGCATAGTATGAAAGGCCCCTCATGCAAGGTGTACAGGGAATGGAATCCTTGTTTTAATGTGTAATCATGTTGCCATAAGCTTGATCATGTCCAAAGACTTCAGAAACTTCAGTTTTGTTCTAAAACAAGATGCCCTGCTTCCCAAATGCTTTGTTCCAGCATCTAAATATATGGTTTAAAATCCACATAACCAAATTCAGCAATAGCCACAGGGCTATATGGCACATAGAAAAAAAACACCAGAGGGTGCAAAAATACATAGAAAACTCAGTATGGCATAGTGGTTTGAGCATTGGCCTATAATTCTGGAGACCACAGTTCAATTTCCCACTTGGCCATGAAATCCATTGGGTCACCTTGGGCAAGTCACATGCTCTCAGCCTCAGGGGAAGGCAATGACAACTCTCCTCTGAACAAATCGTGCCAAGAAAATGCCATGATCAGTTCGTCATAAGTAAGCAATGACTTGAAGCTACACTACACACACCACATGCACACACACATAAATACAAAGGCTGCATGTTGCACACAGGGTAGGAACCAGCAAGCTAATGGTACCATCCAGATAATTTAGACTACAAATTCCAAAATCCTTAACCATTGACTGGAATTTATGGGAATTGTAG